ACATGATCTCAAATATAGTGACTGAACAGATGTTGTTATTTGCAGGAATGTATGCAGCCAGTTGAGGTCAAACTCAAATTTTCTTTTGTTTGAATTTATTATAATGTTTTCATGAACATTTATTTTAACTTGTTATGAGGAAATCTGCTGAGCAGATACTGTTCTAATTGGCTCCCTTTGATGCTACTGTCTGGATCTGGCTGTGAGGTCTTGCTTCTTCCTTTCCAGGGCCTTTAGTAGAACTCTCTTGGACCTCCTTCTTAGAAATGATCTGCCCTTTTCTGGTGGGGCAACAATAACTTAAATACATTGAATACTTTGTAATTCTATAAAGTGTAAATACGTTACTCAGTTCTTTCAACAGATCCTTGAGGTATCTTCATTTCTGCAGTGCAAATGAGAAATCTGGAAGAGGAAAATTAAGTGTCTTTCCCATACAAACTGGCAGTCCCATTATTCGAGCCCACATATTCTGACTCTGAATCTTGCTCTCTTCCCTCTAAATTGCAGTTGCAGAGTGTTACATTCATTCTATATGTCACGTTTTCGCAGTACAGTTGAGTAACATCATTGTACTCAAGGTTGACTATTATGAAAGATCTAGCAGCCACTAAAAGCAGTTGAAGGAACTGTTATATTCAATTGGCAGCCACTGCCTGGTTTGTAGGATATTTTGCAATATAGTAATCCCCTTCTACCTTCTGCCTGGCTAATTAAAATCTTTATAAGTGACTAATTCATTTTTCTTTGCAAATTTCCAGTTCGAAAAGTAGTCATAGATACTATGAAGACTATTCATTCAATTTATAATATTAAAATGAGTATTAATTATATATTCCTATAACAGTGGTTGTCAGACTTCTTTTAGCTACAGAACCCTTTACAGAAATTAAATTTTTATAAAAGTCTAATAGACAAAACAGGTAAAGCAGAGCTATTTTGGATAAATTATTAGAGGTAGAGTTTAGCCTACTCAACTCTATTCCAGTCCTATAGTTACTTCCTGGAAAGCTTGGATCTCTATGGAGCTCAGTATTGACAGGGACATTGTAATGTATTATATAATTCTAATATAAAAAAGGCTTCACAGAATTTGTCGTAGATATCAATTCTGTTTTCTAAAACTGTGAGCCCATTATATTTAGAGATGTGATCTTTCAGAATTCTGCCTTTTTCTATGAAAAGATAATCAAGCATTCTTTATATTAACTACCCAGCTTCTTCAACGAGGTAGTTGATAGAAGGTTGACTATTATAAAAGATCTAGCAGCCACTAAAAGCAGTTGAAGGAACTATTATATTCAATTGGCAGCCACTGCCTGGTTTGTAGGATATTTTGCAATGTAGTAATCCCCTTCTACCTTCTGCCTGGCTAATTAAAATCTTTATAAGTGACTAATTCATTTTTCTTTGCAAATTTCCGGTTTATTTTAGATTATATTGAACCTGTTTTTTTTTTTTAATTTAACACTCAGATTATTTATGTTAGCCTTTTGAGAGAAATATATCCCTGTGTGCAAAGTTCATGACTGTTCTTGGAAATGTAACCATGGTATACTGAGCTGTTTTATTTATGACAGGTATTTGTTGGACACTCCAGTTAAATTTGGTGATGTTATGGTAAGTGTAAAAGTCTCTATTAGATTGATGTGAAAGAACAATTTTGAGTTACATTGGCATATTAAAGATAAAGAGAGCTGGTCATGCATCTGATGCCTGTTTTGCATCCTCTTGTGTACCAATGTCTATAAAATTCAAATGGCTTGATTAGGTGGTTGAGTTCTGTTAAAAGGACCTGTAAATACTATCAGATTATTATTTTTATCACCAAAATCTTGTTTAAAAAATTCTACTGGTCATTCATTGAACTAATACTTGGAAAACTTTTAAGTTTTTATGGGGTATTAAATGAAGTATATTTTGACCTATAATTTCCTGATTACTTAATCAAATTAATGAAGCTGGAAGGACTATATGTAATATTCTTCATGAAATGTAATTTTGCCCTAGCCAGGTAGCTCAGTTTTTAGAGCATCATCCCAATAACACCAAAGTTATGGGTTCAAATCCCAGTCGGGGTACATACATATAAGAATCAACCGATGAATGCATAAATAAGTGGAACACCAAATAGATGTTTCTCTCTATATATCTCTATCTCTATCCCTTTCTCTCTCTCATCAATAATAAACATTTTTAAAGATTTAATTTTTAATTATTTTAGCATGCGAGATGGAAAATTGGCATATTAATGAGTACTTTAAGGTACCAAAATATAGAAAAGAATATAAGTAAAAATAATATGATTTCAAGTGTGATTTAAGGGGGAAAAATGTAGTTGAATCCAGTTAAATCCAGTAATTGGTTCAGGTAGCTAAACTATAATGCCATTTTTATGTATATGTTCACTAATGTATTTTTAGAGTATTATTATTATTATTATTATTATTATTTTCTCTTAAAGACATTTCTAACTTTAGGCTGATGGCAAGTGCTTTATATTTTATAACATTAACTTCCAATTATAACAGTATTCTGAAATTAATTGTACTAAATATATATTCTTTATGTTTCACTTGGTAAAATCTAAAGAAATACACATATTGTGTTTTTTATTTGTCTAGCTTCTATTGAAACTAAAATTGATGTGGCTGCCATCAAGGAAAAGGTTAAGAAAGCAAAGATTAAGAAACTGGGAGCTCTCACAGCTGAAGAAGTTAAGCTTAAGATGGAAGCAGTTGAGAAGGAAAAAAAGTAATACACACACATACACACACAACCTGAACTAGAACCTACTAAGCTATCTCTTTTTATAAAGTACTTTGAGATACTAGGGCATTAGTTGCCTTATGTGTAAGAAGTAATATTCTAATTTTTTTTCTGAATGTGTTTTTCTTTATGAGAGTATTTATATGTATGGCTATTCTTTATAAATATAAATTATTGTATTCTCCATGTGCTTTTTGAAAAATGTACTAGAGAGCAGTATATACGTCTATGTATATTGCACCTAATGTATTCTAGGCAGGCTTTGTCTAGCATGATTTTAGGAGTAATTTTAAAAAAATTCTTTTTTTCTTTCTTTTTTTAATCCTTACCCGAGGATACTTTTCCATTGATTTTTAGGGAGAATGTAAGAGAGAGGGAAAGACAGAGAGAAACATCGATGTGAGAGAAACACATCAATTGGTTGCCTCCTGCAGGAGCTCTGACCAGGGCTCTGGCCGGGGAGGAGCCTGCAAGGGAGGTATGTTTCCTTGACTGGAATCAAACCTGGGACCCTTTGGTCTATAGGCCAAACCGGCCAGGGCTAGGAGTAATTCTTTCATTTGATGTAAAGATTTTTGAAATGTGACTGTTGTAATTATCCAACAAATCGAATATCTGATTTGGTTAAATACCTACAACTATGTCCCAGCATTTGGTTTTGAGGAAAACAAATGCAGAGTTTTCAGTGCTCTATCTACTGATAACAAACATTTAGGCTTATTCCTTTCTGGAATCTCATTTTATGTTGTGTTCCAAGATTAAACAACTCATAAGCAAAAAAAGCAAGGCCTCTTTAAGTCAAATTCCTAAATTACTATTCTATTCTGAGTCCAGAAAAGTGATAAACCAAAAATACCTCAAATTGCAACTGGGTAAACAGATTATTTAGAGTTGAATCAGCATGCAAAAGTTATGAAGAAATGTTTATACTCATGAAGGCCTGTTGACTTATTTAGAATCACTGAAATCTAGCTCCCTCATTTTATTTTATTTTTAATATTTTATTGATTTTTTTACAGAGAGGAAGGGAGAGGGATAGAGAGTTAGAAACATCGATGAGAGAGAAACATCGATCAGCTGCCTCCTGCACACCCCTTACTGGGGATGTGCCTGCAACCAAGGTACATGCCCTTGACCGGAATCAAACCTGGGACCCTTCAGTCTGCAGGCCGACGCTGTATCCACTGAGCCAAACTGGTTAGGGCTAGCTCCCTCATTTTAGGTTACTTACTGAAAGTCACTGTGGCAGCCTGAAAACAGTGCTTTTTCATAGAAACATGGAAAGTAAAGGTGAGTTTATCCTGTAGAGTGAGGACTTTGAACATTTTGGTTATGGCTTTACTGAAGCAGTGTAATTTTTTTCTGGAATGTTTTAAACTTAGAATTATACCCAATTGTTATTTTTAAAACATCTTATACAGATGAGTTTGTAAACTTTTTTTAAAAAAATATTTTTTTTATTGATTTCAAAGAGGAAGGCAGAGGGAAGGAGGGATAGAAACATCAATGATGAAGGAGAATCACCAATTGGCTGCCGTCTTCATACCCCCTACTGGGGATCGAGCCTGCAACCCCGGGCATGGACCCTGACCAGGAATCAGAACAGTGACCTCCTGCTTCATAGGTCAGTGCTCAACCACCGAGCAACACTGGCCGGGCAAGTCTGTAAACTGTATTTTTCTGGGTTGTATTAGTCCAAAAGAACTAAATGTTTGTACTTGACCAAGATGGTAATAATAGCAGCCAGGATTAGTACTAGTGGACTAACAATGAGAAAGAGAGATAGGGATCTATTACGTAAATATATCGGCCAGTCTGGATACACAATAGAGTAGTAACCTGTGAAACAAACATAAAATATCCTCTTAAATGTTGTTTTCATAATGCAGTAACATAATTCACAAAGACTTTAATGAAACAATTAAGATTTATATACATACGTGTGACTTTGTCTCGCTGTGTGCTAACTGTAAAATCAGAGAGAGAAAAAAAATTAAAAGAGTAGGTACTGGGGAGGTTTTTGTTTTATTTTTAAAAACCAAGTTTCTAATTATAACTACTAACTGTTGCTTTGACTTTATTGCAGTGATTTTCAAAGGTTACTTTTTAAAGATTTTATTGTACTAACTACTCATTTGATATTTTTAAAGCAACTTTTATATAAACTAAATTTTTTATGTACCACTACTGTAAATGGAAAATCATTTTACATATTCTATCTAATAGATAATGAACCCAATTAAAATAAATATTAAAACATTAAATTTTTAAAATAAAAATATTAGTAATATTGAGTGTGAGCAATTTATTAAAATATTTTCCTGAAAATAAGTTCCTCTAGAAAAATGATGCTGTTTATGATCAGTCAGTAAAAGGGAGACAGTTGCCTCTCTCATCCATTTCATTATGTTGGTAAATTACACATAGAAGCATTTGGCAATCACAGTCATATCAACTCCTCTCCCTTCACTGAGCTTTATGCAGAATTTGGCACTGGAGCACTACGAAGAAAACTGCATTTGCCTTAGCCTTCTTGATACTTTTTTTATCGTCAAGACACCTTTTGACATCCATCCTACTCCAGCTGCTATTGGATTCCTGTGGTAGAACCAAAAAGGATCTGGCCCTGGGCACCTGTGAGCATCCCTGATCATCACACCTGGGCTTTTTCTGTGTTCAGTTACTGTGAAGCTGCTAGACTTCACACAGTTTCAACATTGGTGGTTCTGTAGTTTAGTTGTAATTTTGATGTGGTTGTGGGAGAAAGTGAATACAGCATTTACCTATGCCTCCATCTTGGCTGGAAGCCTGGGCATATTGTTCTAAAATCTATGGTTTTAACTCCTATGCTATAAAACCTAACTTGTAAAACATAATAATTTGCTTTGTAGTGTTGTAGCAACATGAAAGGGAAAATTCAGTAAATATATTGATGCTCTGAGAAGAGGTTTGTTGCACTTGGACTACACCTTACCAAGTTCTCCTAACAAAACTGATATGAATAAAATAAAGAATGCTTGAAGTAGGGAGAAAGGACTGTCTCAGAAACCTGGTCGATAAAGTGTTACTGTTCTTGGAGGGAAGATAAGAGTTAACAGTTTACATCAGGAGAAAAGGAACAGGCAGTTTAAAATAATTTTGTAATTTTAGACCTGGAAGGGGCCTTAGAAAACACGTAAGCAGCGGAATGCTTTTGCCAAACAAAATTTATGCAGTTAAACTCGGTCCACTCTGCCCTGCCTCTACTCTAAGAACCTCACCCCGGCCCTGGAGCTTTGGGACTTCAGTGGGTTACAGATGTGGACACTAATGTACTACACAAAGGATTTGCATAACTTCAACAGCTTAATTGAGTTTTCCTTTCTTCACATCATAGGAAAAAGAAATGTGTCTGGAAGAGGAACTTATAAATAAACTCTTGGCCAGTTATGGATTATTATTTCAGAATTACAAAGCAGAATTTTGCTAGGATGTTTAGTAAAACATCCTTGAAGTTATCTTCATTGGCTTTCTACACCATCCTCATTAAAATGTTGTTTTGCTCATTTAAGAAGTGCCCCATTACAGCTTCTTTCATTTATTCTACAGATGAAAATGCAACCTTGAGTGCCTCAGACAAGTAGTATCACAAAATTCAGAATACTGTTCATTTGGATAGTTTCATTATACAAATTTTTGATCTTGCTGAAATTAGCAAATTTTGGGTCTATAGTTTACAACACCATAGTCATTTTTGTGTTGTACTGATTAGAGCTAAATTAAAAGGATACTAATTGCTTCTTTAAATTTATATTAAACATATAGTGCTAAGACAATAAGCCATTGGTTTGATTGCAACCTAATAGCTATTCCTGGAAATAGCTATTAGGATAAAACAAAGGTTTGCATTCTTAACTGTAGAAAGTTACAATCGTTTAAACACATTGTATTATGGGTAGATTGTTTCTTTTACTCACCACACAGATTGTCCAAACAATTGTCATTTTGGGGGCAAGCACTGCAAGTGGATCCTTTTTTATATGGCAAAGTGGGGTAATTTCCTCTATAAAGAAGAAGAAAACTGTCCATTAGGAGAGGTTTGTTGTTGTTGTATTACAATTACAATTTATTATGAATCCTTGACTAAACCCATAGGATAGAAGTCCAGATTCAGAGGGTTGGTAAGAGAAGCGGAGAGAAGAAAGAACTGGAAGCCTGTTCACATACAGAATTTACTCTGTGTGCCTGTGTCTGTAAACCTGTGTCTTGGCCTACATTATGTAATTCTTAAGACAACTCGGGGAGGAAGGTATTTTTATTTCTATTTTATAGATAAGGAAACTAAAGCTCTAAGGATTAAGTAGTTTGCAAAAAAAAAACCCAACATTATATGTATGTATGTGTGTACACACACACACCACAATATATGTCAGACTCAGAACAAAACCTAGATCGCTCTGGCTCCAGGGCAGTGCTCCCTCTGGCTGCCTGGCCCATGTGATCACTGTCATCCAAGCAACTCTCCGTCTTAGAAAGAGTGGTGTGACCCACATTGACTCCTCCATCCATAAGCCGCCCTGGTGTTTACTGGATGGGAGCCATTTGGCTGGATAAGCACCTAACAAAAGAAAACAAGACATGGGGGAATTTCTAAGGTGCAGTTTGTTTTTACATAAAGGAAGTGATAAGAATAATAGATAATAATTACTGAGTCTTCCTTGTGAGCTAGACACTGTTCTAAGTCCTAATGAATTAACCTCAGCCCGATGAGGAAGATACAGTTATTTATTCCCATTATATAGCTAGAGGCTGAGGCACAGAGTGCAAGTAATTGACCAAGGTCACAGACTAGAAAGTGAGAGACTATCCAAACATTTTCTATCCCCGTGAAGATCTGCAGAGTAGCAGTGAGGGGCTGTGCGTTTATTTCAGTGAACTTGCAGGTACACTAGACCTTTCTGGAACTCTGCTTTTAGAAAGAAGTTCTTTTTTTTTTTTTTTTTAAATATATTTTATTGATTTTTTACAGAGAGGAAAGGAGAGAGAGAGAGAGAGTTAGAAACATCGATCAGCCGCCTCCTGCACATCTCCTACTGGGGATGTGCCCGCAACCCAGGTACATGCCCTTGACCGGAATCGAACCTGGGACCTTTCAGTCCGCAAGCCAACGCTCTATCCACTGAGCCAAACCGGTTTTGGCTAGAAAGAAGTTCTTAACTTTTTACCCTTGGGACCCTTTGGTTGCCTGGTGGGGTCTGTGGACTCTCTGAAAATAGTTGTGTGTGTTTTTAAATGCATAAAATAAATGTTATAGGACTAGTATAAAGGAAACCAATTAAATTGAAAGTTGTCAAAATGGTAAACATTTGTGGTATAGTAAAATATACTTCTCTATTAAATATTAGATAAGATCAAGCAGGGAGTTTAGTAGTTATATTAATTTCAAAGCAGTGATGAATAAAAGCTATTTTGAGATGATCTACAGCAACCAGAATGGGATACGAAATATCTGTGATATTTACAAAGATATTGCCAATAGAACGCACAGGTGTTGCTGGTGAAACTGGAGTGTTCCCTTCATTCGTAATGAAATGTTACTCTCAGTAGAGGTTAGTGAAAATAAGATGTTACTTTTTCTAATCCAAGTTCAGGGACTCCCTTCCCCTAATACTATACTTTTACCTCTGAAGTTAACACCCCCTCCTTAGAAACATATTAACATCTTATTTCCCACCCAAAAATATATGTTCTAATTTCGTTGGGCTCCACATTAATTTAAGTTGTTTTGGAAATTAAATTTACCCTCATGCTTACTCTACGCCATGGAAATTAATCAAAGGAATGTAGTAGAGATTCTTAACAATTATAAAAGATGTCCAAAATGGACATTAATCATCGGAATATCTTTCATTGTTAACACAGTACTCATTGAGTGGTTACGTTCTTAATTAAAATCACTTAGTAAAATCATTTATGCTACATTTTTTGTCTAATTGTGCATTACACATGATAAAGAAGAGGGGGAAATAGCTGCTTCAAAAATAAGCTAAAAATGAGGCAGTTGCTATTCTAGGGAAGTGGCAGAATTCATCTTGGAAGAAACATGCTGGCAAGGCCTGGATTTATCTAGTTGGGGAGAGATTAAGACAAAGCAACCTAAAGTACTCTGCCCAGTAAAGAAGCAGGACGTTTTCCTGTTTCCCTTGGTAGCCTGAGAGATAAAGGATCAGGGCCCTGCGGCTTTGCAAAAGAACATGATTAACATGGACAAGGGTCCCCAAGGCAGTGGTGGCTCAAGTATACTGGGCACTGTACTGTTTGATAGTCAACATTGTCATGTCCTCTACTGTATTATAATCCTCTCTTCCACAGTCCACTGAGGGCAGTTCTGTTACCCAGCATAACCTTGCTCAGTGCGGCCCAGGGGGATGAGGGAGAGCGTGGTGTCCGTGTTTGGGATAATACAGATGAGAGAGGCCTGAAGCTGCCAGGAGGAGAGGGGTCAAAACTGTCCTGAGCCATGGGAAGGAGGTGAGGGTGTGCCTCAGAGCGGGAGGACAGGTGTGACTGTGAGGAGCAGGGACTCCGGGACAGCCTGGCTCTGACACTCCCTAACTGAGGGACTTTGGCTGGCGGTTCACCCTTCGGTGCCTTTCTTATCTGCAAAGGGGGTAGTAATAAGCTGCCTCCAGTCTGTGAAAACTACATGGTTACTTAGAGCAGTGCTCAGAGCATGAGGAGCAGAGTGCAAGCACAATGACCTGGGACACGCTCATGGAATCACTTTAAGTAAAAAACAGAAAACGTATTTCCACAATCTCAGTTTTCTAAATAGGTGTATGACGCATACGCAGGCATACTTAAACTTTAAAGGAAGTTGGGGGAGAGGTCAAGTGTCTTCCTGTTTTCTGAAAGGAGACATTGTAATCATTTTAAAGAAGAATTGTCAAAAGTAAATGAAATAAGTTATGTACACTGAGACATTCAAATCAGAGTTATTTTTATTTTGACAATTGTGCAAAATTTCCAAGTTTTAAATAAACCAATAAATATAAAGTAACACCAATCCTCTTATTTTGTGGTGCTATTACCAAATCCAATTAATCTGTGTCCCTGAAAACATGTTAGTCTTGCTACTGTTAAAAATGTACATATGTATTGATGTAGTATTTATAAAGGATGTATACACACCCCACAAAATGTACCAGAATGTGAATGCAGTAGATTTCTAGGCGGAGGAATGAAGGCTAATATTACTATTCTTCTATACACTTATTTCAATTTTTTTAAAGTGAAAATAAATACTTTTGTAAAATAGAATTATTTTTTTTTTGAAAGAGGGTGATTTGAGCACTTACGCTGGTCCGTAGTTGCATATAAAATGTGCAGCATTAGGAAACTGTAAGCCGGAAATTTTAGGACAGAAATGTACTGCACAGCCAACTTTGTAACTATCTGCCCACACAACCTGAAAGAGAGTGAGAGAGATAGAAAGCGAACATTTGATTGTGATTAGGCCTTCATAAACGTGGTGAGGGATAGTCACTCTAGTAAGGTAGAACACTTATACCACCAGGGAACTTGTAGGTGCTCAGAACCAGGTGAAAACAAGAATTGTAAATTATCATTCGGGGGGGGGGGGTCTGTGTGTGAAATATATAAAGAATAACAGATCATTTTTGACAGTTGGCGCAATGAAGAAATAAAGGCTCACAGGATAGGGAGTGACTGAGGGAGGAGGAGGCTGCTTTATTTGGGTGTTCGGGGCAATGTCTGGGAGGTGGCATTCCGGCTGAGACCCGAGGAGGAGGAGGCAGCCCTGAGGAGGACCATGCACCCAGATGTGCGAGGAGGAAGAGGCCCTGTGCAGGAGGAGCTCGCAGGGCGAGGGCCCTGAGTGGAGAGTGGCTGGGAGAGAACAGCTGGGATCTGATGGTGAGGGGGCGTGGGGAGGAGCTGCAGAAGCAACGGAAGGCAGAGGCAGAAGAGCAGGTCACGGGGAGTCTTGTATGTATGTGAGTCATGGGCCTTTTTCATGTCCTGGAAAGATCCCTTTGGTTGTTCTGAAGGAAATGGACTGAGAAGAGCGAGGGAAGTAGGCGGGCGGGATGTGGGAGGCTCTCTCGGTGGTACAGAAAGGATAAGTTCACACTTGGACTGTGGAGTGGAGTTCCTGGGAACTGATCAGGCTCATGGTTCCGGTTAGATGGAAAGCTCATAGGATTTCCTTTTGCTTTGAGTGTGGGGTTAAGAGGAAAAGACACAAATCAAGTTAATGTTTTAGGCCCGAGCAGCATTTCCTGAGATGGGGAGAATCACCAAGGAGGAGGATGGGTGGTTGCACGGGTGGGGTTCTGTCCACATCATGGGAGTGTTCAGAAGCCTAACAAATGTCTGAGTGCACACTGAGTCGGCTGCTGGATAGAACCATCTGCAGCGCAGAGACGCAAATCTGGAACACATGTGACTGGATCAGACCTCACAGACCAAGGTAACAGAAAAACAAGTGAGAGCTGGGACCAAGCACAGCCGCCAGCCAGGAGGTTGGAAGGAGAGGTCAGTAACACAGGGAACCAAGAACAGAGCCAGCATCAGGGAGGAAGGTCCCTGTGACCAGAGGGCTGCATTCTTGGTTTTATTCAATGCTGTCACACGTTACTTTACGGATACTTCCCCCCTTATTTTTGAACAAGGACTTCACAGATTCATTTTGTACGGGGTTCTACAAATTCCATAGCTCATCTTACCATAGTGTTTGGTGTCCCAGAACCTAAAGAAAAGAGGTATCTGGAGCCAAGCCAGCCATTAAAAGTACTTTTTTTTTTTTACAGTGATACCATATTGCATTTTAAATTACTTTTACTCAAAAATTTTCACAACTCTGTGACAAGAACTGTGCTGAATATGGGGGATGCAAAAGTGAATGGGCTGGAGCCAGTGGGAGCCTTCACAAAATGCCAAGGAGAGCCGTCACCACATAGGATTTCATGCTGTGCAGGGGAAGCGGAGGGTGCGCAGGGGGTATATAGCATGGGGCCCTGCCCCCCCTTCTAACCCCTCCCCCCCTCGTTAGTGAGGGGGAGCTGGAGGAGTGGGTCTGAGAGAGCCCGGAGAAGTCTTCCAGCAGAGGGCAGCATCCCTGTGAACCCAAGGTGAGAAAGACAAGGCCATTGGGGCTGCAGAAAAAGATCAAGTTTAGGTGAAAAAAATCAAAATAAAAACCACTCCCTGGGGAGCGAGTATAGGGTGAGGGAAGAGGGAAGGGGGGAGCTGAGAATGGAGTCTGAGCTTCTCCAAGTTTCAGTGGTGGGGTAGGAGGCTCATGGGGCCTTCCTTTACCTCTATAACTTATTTCTTAAGCCCATTTCTTCTACAAATAACTTCTCCTTCTGTGATTTTCCAAATAAATCTTCTCTTACAGTTTGTAAAGAAAAAGGGGTGCTGGATTTTATCAAATGCTTTTTCTGCATCTATTGATATGATCCTGTGGGTTCTTTACTTCAATTTCTTTATGTGATATCACGTTTATTGATTTGTGAATAGTGTACCAACCTTGCATCCCCAGAATAAATCCCACTTGACTGTGGTTTATCATCGTTTTAATATGTTGCTGGATCTGGTTTGCTAACATTTTCTTTTTTTAAAAAAAATTTATTGTTTAAAGTATTACAGATGGTAGTACATATGTACTCACCGGCACATGCCTCCCCCCCCCACCAGTGTCTCTTGTCCATTGGTTATGTTTATATGCATGCATACAAGTCCTTCAGTTGATCTCTTACCTGCCCCTCCTCGCGCCCCCCACCCCCCCGCCCACCGCACTCAACACTCCCCAGCATTCCCACTGTAATTTGACAGTCTTGCTAACATTTTTTTGAGGGTTTTAGCATCTATGTTCATCAGATATATTGGCCTATAATTTTCTTTCTTTGTTGTGTCTTCATCTGGTTTTGAAATTAAGATAATGCTGGCCTTGTAAAATGAGCATGGGAGGTCCTCCTTTTCTTGAATTTTTTGGAATAGTCCGAAAAGGATGGTTATTAACTCTTCTTTGAATGTTTGGTGAAATTAACCTGTGAAGCCATCTGGTCCAGGACTTTTATTTGTAGGGAGTTTTCGATTACTACTTCAATTTCACTGGTTGTAAACTATCTGTCTATTCAGACTTTTGGATTCTTCCTGATTAAGTTTGGAAGGATGTATGTTTCTAGGAATTTATCCATTCTGCCTAGGTTGTCCAGTTTGTTGGCATATAGTTAGTTGTCATAATATTTTCTTACAGTCCCTTGTATGTCTTTGGTATCAGTTGTTACTTCTCGTTCATTTCTGATTTTATTTATTTGGGTTCTCTCTCTCTTTTTGTTTTTTCTTGATGAATCTGGTTAAAGGTTTATCAGTCTTGTTTATTTTTTTCAAAGAACCACCTCTTGCTTTCATTAATTCTTGTGGTTTTTACCCTTTGGTCTTTGAGAAATTTCTTCCAAGGTTTTTGTATGTCAAGTATTCCTAATCTTTGGGTCTTCCCCTCTTTCC